GATCTGGCATGTGATGACTCGCAGGGGGATTGCATTCACAAGGTGACTGCCACATGCAATATTTATGAGCTTTGGACCTTTGGCTGCCAAGGTCCAGCAGAGTCATTTCCGCTGTGCTCCGAGCCGGTGGGATTCTGGGGCGTCTTAAATATTCACATTTGTGACTCGATGCGGCACACTCCGAAGCACAGGCTTTTTGTTTTAGGTGTTTGTAGAAATCTTTGTGCTCTCCAGTCCTGCAGTGCGTGTTTTGAAGGGTTGATCAGTGTGCTCCTTAATGATGAGCTGGGTCTCTTTAGCTTGGAGAAGAGGAGACTGAGGGGAGACCTCATTAATGTTTATAAATATGTTAAGGGCGAATGTCATGAGGATGGAGCCAGGCTCTTCTCAGTGATGCCCAATGGTAGGACAAGGGGCAATGGGTGTGAGCTGGAACACAGGAGGTTCTGCTTAAATTTCAGAAGGAACTTCTTTCCAGTGAGGGTGACAGAGCCCTGGGACAGGCTGCCCAGGGAGGTTGTGGAGTCTCCTTCTCTGGAGACATTCAAGACCCGCCTGGACACCTTCCTGTGTAATTTCGTTTAGGTTCCTGTTCTGGGAGGGGGATTGGACTGGATGATCTTTTGAGGTCCCTTCCAATCCCTGACATTCTGTGATTCTGTGTGATTCTGTGATTCTGTGTTTTATCTGCTTGAAAAACAAGATGTGAGGAGCTTCCCTTGGAGACAACGTCTCAGCTGGAGAGCGGCGTTTCTTGGCACTTTCACCTGTTAAACGTGACTGCTTTCTAGCAGTGCTGCAGTGTCTTTCTGTCTGAGCATATATTTACATGTTAAACAGCATATGATGACTGGGAACTGCATGATCCTTTCTTCATCAAGCAGAATCTTATTAACTCACCCACTTCATCGGGCATTCACACACCTCTGCAGAGCGAGCTGCACAGCGTGGTGTTGGCTGGGAAGCTGGGAGAACACAGCTTTGTGAAGACTTTAAAACAGCTTTGGACTTCTGAGAATCTGTAAAAATGTGGGTGGAGGACGTGACCCAAGCTTATTTTTAGCACCTCCTTTCAGCTGCTGAACATGTCCCTGTGCTATCAGCCCAGTTGTGGGACAACTTAGGGGTGGTCAGAACCCTGGTGCAAACCCCCTTAGTTAAAAGGAAAAGCGAGAGTGGGGCTGAGCAAACTCTTGCTGTTTTGCAGGCAGAAAGTACAGGTGATGAAGACTCAACGTGTTTGTTGTTTAACTTGGCAGTGCATCTTTTTAAAGAACCTGATTTAAATTTCCAAAGGCATAAATACTAAAATATAACCTATTTACTCACTTGAGGAGTGGAAATGCATTTTTGCATTGCAGTTGATCTGAGTTGTATTTGTAAGTAACGTGCAGTTTTAAGCACAGGACAAGGTTCAGTATGCAGGCCAACATTGCAATCCAAATTTTCCTACATCTCCCTGCTGTAGATGCTTTTCTTCCTGTGTCTGGGTATCCATCCCCTCCTGTTGAATACAGTGGATATTTGAAGTCTTTAGGTCCTCTATTCTTTCCCCACAATTATAATATTTATGTAAGTATACTCACACATCCTTTTTGCAATAGTGCAGTGTGGCTTCTTACAGCTCCTTTCCTTCCCACCCCCTTTGCTACTACATGGCTTATGCTGCAATACCTCTTCTGTCTGACCCTGTTCCTTAGTGCAGGTTTAGAGAAGATGATTTAGCAAGGCCAGGTAGCAAGGACAGAGCAAGTAGCAACAACCATGATAAGAACTGGGAACCTAGAAGATGGTGAATTTATTCTTAAGTATCAAAAGAGTGTCTCTGTGATGTATCTTTATTGGAAACATCCCATCCTTCTAGCACTGTCTAAGCTTGTGTTCCAAAGAACTGGTTTGAAGAACACTGGCATTGCCCTTGTGTAACAGAGAAAGCTCGTTTGTGGTGATCAAACCTGTGTAGTCCTTGGGAATTATTCTGCTTTTGCACATGTATTTTTTATTGAGGTTGAGTGTAACAAGCTTTCAGGAAAATGAGCCTCAATAACTAGTTTGCTTGCTTTCCTCTCCTGCAGGGCACGCCACTTTTGAACTGGGAGCTACGTGGATTCATGGTTCACATGGAAACCCAGTCTATCATCTAGCAGAAGACAATGGTTTACTTGAAGAGACTACTGATGATGAGAGAAGTGTTGGACGGATCAGTCTTTACTCCAAGAATGGGGTGGCTTACCATCTTACCAACAATGGGCAAAGGATCCCGAAAGATGTGGTTGAAGAATTCAGTGATTTATACAACGAGGTTGGTATTCAGCTGCTTTGTCAGGTTGTAGATTTGCCTGAAACAGTGACAGTTACAATGTTTTGGGTACTGGACAAAGGTAGAACACCAGTAATGTCTTTAATTTCTTTGCAAAAAATCAACACTTTGTTTGCACTCATCTGTTTAACTATAGCCCATTTGTCCCTGATGTGGAATTAACTCACTTGTTAGGAAGAACAATCTTTCCACATTTGTCATCAATTTACTCACTTCCAGCAACTCTTGCTGGGGAGATCCAGTCACTTGCTCTAGAAAGTTGCTACTTAATTAAAGGAGTAGAGGAGGGTTCACATTACTAAACAAAGTAGAATCAAAAACCTTAGCAACAACCCACTAACTATTGTAGCCCTGTGATATTCTACTGCTGTTATAAATACCGTGGTGTGCTGTGTAGTTGTAGCAAAGTCAGTGCAGTATCATATGAATTGCAAGTTTTCTTGCATCAAGTAGAAAATAACATATTTTCTGGTAGATGCACGCCAGCGTGGACTTCAGTTTAAGGTTATTTTAACTTCTTTTGGTCAATGTTCAGTGATATCCTCTTCAGTTCAGTGAAGATGACAGCCTCAGTATCCTAGAATCACAGACTGGTTTGGGTTGGA